CAGATCCAGAGGCCCTATAAAGAAGCCTGTATGAAGAGGAGAGTGAATGCTCAGAATTTGATAGAGCCTCCTTGGAAATGTTAGTGTATCAACAGGAAGAAAGCTGAAAGTAATACTACTCAAGCCAGAACTATTCAAACACATAAAAAGATGGTGCTGCAAGCAGCATCTGGCTCCAGAGCTAGTTAGTCCTCATGGCCCAAACATGCCAGGGATCTGCCCAAGAGGGTTCCTCAATACAGCAAGAGTGGGAACCAGATGGAAATCCTCTGTAGCAGCTAAGGGTCCCTAGTCCAAAGGAATGTTTGAGTGAGAAGTAGACAGTAACCATCATGACATAATGCTATTTGTATCTGCATTTTACATATTTTAACTTGACAGCTAAAATTTTTCTGGATAGTATTGTGCAATTTCCCATAGATTATGTGTATTGACATAAAAATAAAGTCCCTGCATCAGTCATCCAGATGTAGTCACTGTAATTTGAATATCAAAACAACTTAACATCATCATCCATTTAAAATATGTGAAAAGCATTTCTTTGACATTTTTACAACTTTTCATCATTAAATTTATATTGCCAGTGTACTTTCCTCTCAAAAATTTTCCTTAATGTATTGAATTTGAATGTTAAAGTGTTTTATTGACCACCCTTATGGTACTTATCATTGATATTTTGACATTTTATTTTATATATCTCTACTCTAAGTTTCCAAGTGTAACAATCAAACAAACCCAAGTTTTCCCTGGTTGATTGACATCACAGTTATCACCAGTACAATTAGTAAACATGAAACAAATTTTGATAACTACAAATCTTACAAACCAACATTTTATTGTAATTTTGTCTTGGTGGAATGGGTATTTTAAAATGTGCAAATATTATAAGTGGAGTTAGTTCAGATGCTAGCAATTAATCTTATAATTTTTAGTATTAGATATTATATTTATAGTATAAATATTTCAAAAATATTTTGACAAAAAACTTTAATTGCTCTTTTAAATGGTGCACACCAAACCTGTGAGAAACCTAAAAAACAAGCCAGTAACATTCAGAATAATCTGAATCATTTAGAGTATTTGGCTCTTCTGTGAGACTTTTCTTTCCAGTTAATGTCACAATCTAAAGATGACCATGAAAAATGGCTGAAGGGAACTGCTTTCATTTAAGTATACTTATTAAAACAGCCATTTTTAAGATTCGATATGTCCCACCAATCTTCTTTTAGTTCTGATCCAAGACCCATACACTATTCCAGAATAAAATAGATAGGAAAGATAAAATAACTGGAAATGCCCACAACTCCTTCCCCAAATCACACATTCTTCCATCTGATTTCAGAAAGCCCCACACTGAAGAAAAGATACAATTTCTAATGCCCCTCTTAACACAAATATGCAAAAATCTGTGGAACTAGTCATGGTGGCCTGAGGGCTTTCTCTTTCCTGGATGGAGGCTTCTCCTTTGCTTTATTTCCCACCTCCACCCCAGGTTTTTGGAGGACAGAGTATCTGGGGTGTGTGATAAACACAACTTCCCTCTGGAGGTAACACAAGTGCTAATAAAAATCGCATGCATTCCTGGGAAAGAAGACAAATGAAAAGTGAAGATCAAGAAGTAGATTTACTTCAAATGCTATGTGCTTGTGTGTCTCCTAGGAGCCTGAGAAATACAGTACATCCAAAGTGGTTCGAAGCTCCCCAGCTCAAGTCACCCGAAAGAGCCTCGGAAGCCTAGGGTGTTCGGAGCACATTGTCCAGAGTGAGCAAGAACTGGAGGAGATTCCGCCATGCAGGGCAGAAACAAATGCATGCCAAGCAGATCCATGTGAAGTACTTGTGAATTCCTGACTTGTCAGGAAGAAGGAAATGTCCAAATGTCCTTCTGTGAGGACAGGGACGTTTTCCTCCCATATATGGTAAATACAGCAGCACAATTAATCCGCAGTGGCTCTCTTCCCCTAGCACGTATGTGTGCACACATGCCTGTGGCTGTGGACAACTGCAGTACATATTCTGGCTGGCACCCAACCAGGCCACATCCAAGACTGTATTCTACATTTAAGGCCCCTGGATGCCCTAGGGATGAAATCTAAAGACAAAATGATACCTGGGGTTTCTGCCCTCAGGACTGAGATTGGCCTTCTTCAGTTTTCTTGGAGAGGAATGTAGTAGTAAGATGACACTGAGTCTGAGGTACTAACTTTCTGGGCACTTCAGTTATGTTTGGGATGAACCAAAACTCCCCTCTCTATCACTGCAGTGAAAACTTGGACTGCAGACATGAAGGAAACCAGATTCTTCCCATAATGGTTGACATTGGTTGTCAACTTGGCAGGTTCTAGAATCACCCAGGAGACACCCTGAACATGCTTGTGATTGCTGGACTCAGTCAACTGAGATAGGAAAACCCATCCTAAATGTGAACATCACCATTGTAAAGGCTTGGATCACATAACGAATAAAGAAAGACATAGGTCCCAGTGCACCTGTCTCTCTGCTTCCTGGCTACAGATGAGGTGTGAGCTCACCCATGCCAGGATGGACCAACCTGCAAACCTAAAGCCAAAACAACTTCTTCCCTTAAGTTGTTCTTCACAGGAATTTTCACAGCAATGAGTAATCTATATACTCCCTGCAAACAAATTGGAAGAAAGCTCTCCTGGTTGGGATAAGCAGTGGAAGTGACATTTGTTCTCCATTTGCTTTCTCTCCTAGGGAGAAAATATGGGAAGAATGTCAAAACTACTACATCTTTTTGGCTAGTGCACTTGGGTTATCTCTGTGTTGCATTTAGTCTCTCTGCAGCCCAGTTTTACCTGTACAGGACAACATGGCTGAGCAAAATCCGAGAGTGGCAAGCAGAATCAGAAGCAAACTTCAGACCCCAGTGTCGATCTCATGGCCATGACATTATGAACTGCTTCTGAACCTCCTAGAAGTAAACTGATTGCTGACTGTGATCCCAAAGGGGCCCACTAAGGAGCAGGGGTTGTTATTTGAGACTATGGCTTCAGAAAGGTGAAGGGTGCCCTCACAGACAGCTGGCTTCCTTCTGCTCCACCTGCCACTATATCCTCCTTAACAAATAGTTAAAATAATATCAGTACACAATTATGAAATTATGGCACCCCTACTACAAAAATCACTGCTTTCTTTCAAGGTAGAGCATATCTCTAGTCAATAATATACAATCTAGCATGTGTCACCAATTATCATGTGTTATTTCATTTACTTAAACCCAACCCATTGTAGGAGTAAAGAAAACGAGGGTCAGAAAGATTAAGCAATGTGCCCAAGTTTGCAGAATGAGTTAGTAGCAGTCAGGATTTAAACTCTAACTTGGTTCCAAACTCTATGCTTAGTCTACTACCTCTACCCCATAGTGACCACAGTCAGAGTTATAGCCTATTGAGAGAGAAGGAACTTAAAGACACTCAGTCCAACATCCACCTGCTGCCTCAGTTCTCCAGTCATTGTCAGCCCACCTTAGCGGTGTAACTTTCCTAAGGCAACCCCTCGTGTTGCTGAGGAGACCCACTACTCCATGTGGGGTGTCCTGAGGTTAAATCCGGTGACCCTGGTACACTTCCCTTTGTGACATCAAAGCACTTTGTAGGATCTGAATGTCCATTTCTAGATTGAGCATCTCCTGCCCCCTCCAAGTATCCTTCAAAACCTCCATCTTCAGCACCTCTCTTTGTTCTTGGAGCTTCCCCTGAGTGTATGTGATGATTGTCATTGTCAACTTGACTAGATTGGGAATCACCCGGGAGGTACACCTCTAAGCATACCTGTGAGAACACTTTCAGAAAGGTTTAACAAGGATGGAAGGCCCACCCTGATTAGGGATGATACAATCCACTGGGCTGGGATCCCAGGATGAATAAAAGGGGGGAAAGAAGAAGTCGTCTGAGCATCAGCAATGTCTGCTGTCTGCTCCCCTCTTCTCAGATGCGAGGTGTCCAAGCTGCTTTTTACAAGGCATTTTGTCAACACAGCTATTGGCAATAACTAACACAGGGTCCATAACTGGACTTAATTATATTCTAGGATGAGTCAGGGACAAGATGAACCAAGGTAGGACTAGCAGGAGAATCAGGCCAGAAGAGCCTGGGCCCTGTGCAAAACGGGACATACACTGGAGAAGGAGAGAGGCCGATTTTGGAGGAAATCAGACGTTTATTATTTATGTGAGGCTTTTATTTGGTGGTGGGAAAGAATGGTAAGTATGTGGCACAGTATTCCTGAACTATAAATAGCATGTAAATAGCTTTCCTAATGAAAACCTTACAGAGCCTGCTGCGTTGGGAGGGATTCTAGAATACCAAGGGAGGGAGATGGAAATGACGCCTGTTTCACCCACAGACCTTACACCTGCCCTCCACTTCTCCTTACTTTCATTCTTGAGGAAGTTTCACTTCACAGATGAAGTAGAGAACAAGCAAGTTCAGCGCCTCCACATCCACTCTGCTGTGAAGCAGTTTGATGCTGATGTGTCTGCCAGACTACAGAGGGCACCACACCCTCTTTCTGGAATCAAGCATGAGCTTGCCTAGAAGCAGCAATGACCGTTCCACAGTCTTATCCGCAGCCAGGGCTTCAAAAGATGGCCTGTCTCCTGCAGGTAGCTTAAGTTCTTCAAGATAAAAAAGGGTCCCTGTGTGCTATGGATAACAGTGCAACAGTAGAGAGTCCAGGCATTGGGAACATTACTGAAAGATACAGCAGATGCTGATACCACCTCGTGTGACTTTGGCTAAATCTTTTTTCTCTGAACTCCAGTTCTCACATCTGAAAACTATAGAGTTGGGTTAGATGTCCTGGAAACCCCTGCTGAGTCCTGACAGTCTCCACACAGATGCTGTCATGGGCACTGGTTGTCTGAAGAGGGAGTCTCCCAAGAAAGGTTATTTTGCATTTTCTCAGCCTGGCTGACTCACTCAGTGCTCCCTCCTTGATGATCCCACACTGTCCTCTGTCTCCCCATCCACACTGACCTGCACTTCCCGTGTCAGAGCCAGCTCCAGTAGCTGGCCAAAGTGCTGGCCCAGCATGCTCAGAGTCTCACTCACGCAGGCCTTCATTGACTTCAGGACATGCTCATTTTCCACCTGGAGGCACCTGGGAGAAAGAACCGCAGAGTGGGTCACCAGAAGGGGTACTTGGTTGGATCACAGTTGTGACTAGGGCAAACCTGGACTTGCTCGAGGCATGGTGTGTGGAAAGAATGCACTGGAAGGAAGACACAGTTCCAAGAGAATCACAGTTGGAATATGAAACCTTGGTTTGTTCCCTGGAGTCATCACATTCCCTGCTATTGGGTAGTGCTATCTCCAGAAAGTGGCAAAGTCAGACCTCTGGGTTCTCCCTGGGATAGTGGACTGTCAATACGGCCAATCGTCTGGTCACTGAGGTGCTTGAGGTGGAGAGACAGTAGTTTTGGAGAAGGTAGCTAGAGCACAAGGCACCACTAATTAGCTCTCATTATAGCTTGTAAGAATTTCTGCCCATGCATAAACAAGATAGAAACAACAGCAATAACAACAAACATGTTAACATTGAAGAGGGAAGTTTGAGGGATCCCACCTCTGCACAAAGAACTACAGGCAACAAAGGACTGTTGGAGAACAGGCCTCATCCAGAGTACGTTTCTTACTGTTTATTCAATCCATAGTGGTCAGCATTGAAACCACATACACACCACCAACAAAAATGGGCTCAGAAAGTTATATTCATATATATATATGTATATATATTTGTGCATGTATATACATACATGTATATGCATGTATATGTATGTAGCCATAATCATCAAAATAAAAGCTACTAGTAAGCTGAGAGTGGGGGTCATGAGAGGCATTGCGAGAGGAAAGGAATGCGGAAAACGAAATGGTTCTATTTCAGTTTAAAACTTATTTTTAACAAGAAAAACAAAAGGATTTCTGCCACAATATGAAGAAAAAAGAAGCTGCCTCAAAGTTTTCCTTCCAGATAAAAAGAGTAGAGGGGAATAGATTGATGTTCACCCCATGGCCTGGGAATGTCTGTCCACAAAAAGGGAAAGACTCTCTGGCTTCCCACAGAGGCCAAAATCCAGGTTTGAGACATGAAGGGCAAAGGAACATGTCAACACACACTGAGTGTGTCCATATGAAGTTGAGTGTGTATGTGTGCATCTGAGTGTGAGCTCATGTATGTTTATGGTGTGATGTAGGGACAAGAGACTGTGAGCAGATTTCTGTGATCTTATGAGTGTGTGTTTATGTGTCTGTGGGTGAGTGAGTACATGTTTGTGAACATCTCTGTCTCTGTGTTTGTATGTGGAGGTGTGAGTTCAGCTTTCCCCTTACATGGGATCTTGCCTTCACTTTGTAGACCAAGGGGGCTCTCTAACCCTGAAGAAACCCTTTCCCCAATTATCAGCTTACCCTAAACAACTTTCTACTAATACCCAAGGCTCTCTTCCAACTTTCCCTTTTCCTAGGTTCTGAATATGGGACAAAAACCTCATGAGAATCTTTTATCATTTTATTGTACTTTATGGTTCTACTATGCAGCCCTTGCTTGCCAAGAACTCACTAGGTAAACCATACTGGACTAATAGCAATCCTACTGCTTCTGCAATTACAGACATGTATCACTACACTGACTTCAAGATAATCTTTTGAAGTTTCTGAGAATGCCCAGAAAAAGAAACTCCCACCAACTACATGCTAGTATAACCTCCTGACATTCAGAGAAGGTACTAGTCCCTCCCAGAGTTAGGAGGCCAGCAGGCCAAGCAGAGAACCCAGGGTGCACTTACCTCTGGGTGACTGCAGAGAGCTCAGAACATTTCTCCATGAGCAGCTTCTCTGCCTGTAATCAGAAAAGACCAGTGTCATTCCATTGAGGACCAGCTGCTGTGCTGGGAACACTGGGGCCTGAAAATAAATGGAGAAACAGACACAGAAACCAGAATGCACTGTGACCTGGGACATGGGTAGCCAAAGAGGCCAAGGTCAGATGCATTGAGAGAGTAAGAAAAGGAAGCATACAATTAGTTATACTGTGAGAACTTGGAGAGGAAGAGACATTTAAGCTGAGTTCAAAGAATGAACCGACATTCGCTGTCTGCACAGTGAAAGAAGGAAAAGTTTAAGGTGAAAGATTAAGAAAAAAAAGGAGAAACCACAATGGAGGGGGGTGGAGATTCAGTGGCTCACTGTTGACTGTGAGAAGATTCGAATGCATTTTGGAATCAGAAAAGTTAGGTTTTAATCTCCCACATAACATTGGGCAAGTGACTCAGCCCCTGAGTGTCTATCTCCTCAATCATAAAATGGGCTGCGTGACACGTTTTGCATGCAATAATTCAGTCATCCTCATGAACTAAATACTGCTGTACTCACTGAGAGAAAACACCAGGACATGGAGGAGTCAAGTGACTTGCCAAAGTCACATAAAACAGACTGATAATTGAAGCCATGCAGCCTGTACTAGGGCTCTTTCTGCTCGCAGTGGGCGTGCAGGTTAAATGAGATATTTGTGGAAAGGAAACACCTATCACAATGCCTTGCACACGTATATATTCATTCCATGTCCTCACTATCCTTCTCAACTTTATTACAAGACAGGGGAGACTACTGGCTAGGAAAGGTTCAGACTCCAGAACACAGGATGGCATACCTATACCCAGCATTCACTAGCCCTACCCTGGCATGTCTGACCTGGCCCATTTCCTGTGAGGAGGTCCTGCTGATGGTGCTGTACTCGCTGACCATGGAGCGTGCATGGCATGTCAGACGCACACTCATACTGTGCACACGTGCCCATCGGTCCTGGGCCAGCTTCTGCCCGATCCTGCGAAGCTCTGTGCTGATGACCCAGCCCCGCTTCAGGAGCAACTGTAGTGGGTCTCCTGGGCCAGGACCACCTGCTAGGATAAGGTCACCTTGTGTGTCTTCCTCCAAGCTGATGGGCTTTGCCTGCAAGACGCACATGCACTCACACTCGGTCATGAGCTTCAGATCCTCCATCCAGCGCTGAACTGAGTCCACCTGCATGAAGTGTAGCCTGCAACCAGAAAAAAGTGGCAGGGTGACTGCCAACACTCCACTTTTCCTAGAGAGTTCCCATCCCTGGCCACCAGTGTCTGCTGAGAATCTAGTTTAAGCTCAGTTCTGCTTTTCCAGTTCTCACCATGATTTCTCATTGTCACCAACAAACAGATAATAAGGCAGAGGCACAGTGCTTTGAGGCCATGACTCCTGAAAGAGGTATCAACAGTGGCATGAAGTGAGTTACAGCAGACTTATATGGGCATCATGTGTGCACATTCTTAAAATAAGGCCTTCCTGAAAGATTAGCGATGAAAACAGTCTCCTAAAGAAGCAGTGTATACACAGGGTACAAGCAGAAAACAAGACAATGACAAAGACATGTTAATTTTAAGAAAATGTTCAAAGGAAAGGTAGAAGTCCTAAGGATCTTTGGGGGGTGGCTTCAAAGCCTTTTCCTCCTGTCTTTCAACTTTTCTCTAACTTCCAGTTTTGCTATAATACAAATATAAACTTGTAATAAACCAGATTAACTGCATTTACTCCGCCAGTAATTTCAGACATTAATGAAACACTGAACACATGGTGAGTTCATTGTATTTAGTATCACATGTATGTCAGGTACTGTGCAGAAGCTGACGCAAGGAACTTTGGGGCAGTTTAAAGGAAGAAGAGGGGGGAGGAGGGAGGAGGGAGAAGACAGCAGCAAAACTCACCATCATCCCCCCAGTATGACAGGACAGTTTGTTACAAACTCAATAGGCCATGAATGGGCTATACACAAGCTGAGCAATGGAATTCGTCACTCACTGCTTCTGGTGTGGATGCAAATGGCCCTAGCCACCTCAGGTCCCTGTGCTATGCCTCCACAATGAACTGAATCCTCCCAAATCATAAACCAAAATAAACTCTTTCATATGTTACTTTTCTCAGGTATTCAGTCACAGCAATTAGTTAGATGTAACTAATACTTCTTCCAGGCAGAATGACAAAGCTTTGGCACTAAGTTATATTAATACAATCCCATTCCTAAACTGCCAAGCTAAGCCAATAATCATAGCAACTGGAGCTGTTGTCCACATGCCATGCTACTGGTTGAACTTTGACTGTGCAGGAGAAACTCCAGGACCACTGGAGTCTAAGGGTTATGTCTATTGCCTGAAACCCATAAGAACTCAAATATCTAAGCAGATTTTAACCCACACCCTCCCACAGAATAAAACTCTTCTGGGTTGAAAGGAGCTGTCCCTTCAGGCAGAGATCAAGGCAAGGTGTTCTCAGAGGGGCAGGCTGTAGAGCAGAGTCCTGTCTGGACACATCAAGGCAGAGGAAGTATATTGAGGTATGACAGTAAAAGGGAAAATGAGTCATATCTTGGATTAGATTTGTATATTTGGAAGAACAGGGACAGAGAGGAGATGAAAGGCCAGAAACCTGACCTTGAGGGTAGGGTATGGACATTCATGCTGAAAGCCTTTATATACTATTGAAGGGTGACAGAGAGGTACAGCAGGGTTGGAGACTGGAGGAGGCAGAACTTAGGTTAAAAAAAAGTGTGCAGGACCACATGCCAGGGCCAGCTTTCAGTTTACCTCCTTGTGAATGAACGTGAGCACTGGATCTTTGAGGGGGCACACTCTTGCCCTTGGCTGGCAGGGGTGTGTTAGTCAGCTTTCTGTGACTGTGACAAAGCATTCAGGGAGACTCATAAGAAAGTAAGAATTGGTTTTGCTCAGGTTCCAAGGAACTTGGAAGTGGATGATGAGCTCTGATTGAGACAGGCAGGCAGACAGAAATCTAACAAACTTTCCATTTCTGCTTCGAAAGATGTTTAGTTTCTTAACCCTCCATGGATCTTCATCCTACATAGGCAGATGTGTGTTCCACGTGTCCTCACAGAGCCTACCTGAGATTTCATTTTTCAATTTAACCATCATTTGTGTATTACCTGTGATATACCAGGAAGTAGGATAAAACAGCAAACAAAACAACTAACATTCAGCCCTTTATGGAGGGCACATGACAGACAGGAAAGCAAATGATAAAACAGAATAAGCAAGAACTATGTGGTGTTTACCAACTGATCATTTCTACTGAAAGAGTGAGGCAGAATCAGGGAGATCAAGAATGCTCCTGTGAATACAGAGGGGTCAAGGAACCATGGGAAGGGCCCACAGAATCAACTAACCTGGGCTCACAGGGTCTCGCAGAGAATGAACCAACAACCAGGGAGCCTGCATAAGACTGACCTAGGTCTTCTGCATATATGTTATGGTTGTGTAGCTTAGCCCTCTGATGAGTCCCCTAACAGTGGGAGCAGGGGCTGTCTCTGATTCTTTTACTGGCTTTTAGGACCCAACTTCTCATACTGGGTTGCCTTCCCCAGCCTTAGTACAAGGGGAGGAGTTTAGTCTTACTGCAACTTGAAATGCCATGTTTTGTTGATGCTCATAGGAGACCTGCCTTTTCCTGGATGGAGACACAAAAGGAGGGAATTGGGGGTAGGAGTGGGTAATGGTGGAAAGGAACTATTAGGGGATGATGGGGGAAGCTGTGGCTGGGATATAAAACAAATAGACTAATTTAAAAAGATAAAAAAGAAGGCTCCTGAGAGACACATGGAAGTCATTGCCACTTTAAATGAGTGGCCATGGTATAGCTTCCTGAGAATGTAAATCATGAGCAAACTCTCCCAGGAGGCAAGAACATGATAAAATATGCTAACTGGGTGTTCATGACAGGGCAAAGGGCCTAGGCAAAGGCTCTAGAAGGAAACTGCAGGGGAGACAGGGTAGCTATAGTGGAGCATATGAGAGAAAGATGAATAGAAGGTGAGCTCAGAAAAGAGACTACCAAACCTGTCAGTGGCTTCCAAGGTAATGTAAACACTTTGGGTTTTGCTCTGTATAATAGAATGTTTCTTGGATTCCCCCAAGGAATATCATCACAAGTGTCCTCTGGAACCATCCAGCCCACGTGCCTCTCAGCAATCCAAATGGCCCAATAGGGAAAGACAACCTCCCTCCCTCCCTTCCTCCTTCCTCCCTCACCCTGCCTTCCCCCCTCTCATCAAAACAAGGATAGATTAATTTAGAATGACCTAACCTCTGTGGTACAAAACTATACACTGTTTACTAGGCAGCCAATTTAAACATAATAATTTATGCAATGAGTTATAAATAATTGACAGTGTGGTTGGAGTTTAACTTCCAACCCTTCTGCTCCAGGCACCAAGAGGGTTAGAAAACGCCTCCACTTCATGTTGCTTAAGTTTTCCACTGTGTTCGTCACTCAGCCTCTGTTCTTCCTCACAGTCCCACGCTGGGTGGCACCAGCGTGAGTCTCTCCAGACACTGGGGTAGACAAGTCTAATTCTCCATTCCTATCCATACCTAGTTACCAGGTTAGCGGAATGCCTTCACCACGCTGCCGTACTCAGACAGCGTGATTCTTCACTCACCATGAGTGTATCTGTGCAGTGCTAAAAACATTATGAGCTCTTCTTTACCTCAGGAGAATCTGAACAAACTTCCTCTGACCACCCATTAAGTGGCAGATGGCCTCCTGTCCCCTCAACTCCTCTGTGTTCTCCCCTGTCTCCTCGCACTAACCTTCCCAAGCTAAGATTTTTACCCTCAAATTAACTAGAAAAACCCAAGTTTATTATTCATCCTTCCCACTTACCGTTTCCCTTCTATGGCCTATGCTGTTTTCTTTTCATTAAAATGCTTGGCATAGCATGGTAAAGGATTGGGCCCTGCATCCTGGATAAGTCCGGGAGTCCTGACAAAGGGGAGTGGTACCCATCAGCAACCTGGGTGCAAAGGACAGAGCAACGTGTGCACAGTTGTTCTGTAGTCTGCAGTACTCTCTCACAAAATAGGCAGCTTTGAAAGTATCTTACTTTTTCCCCATTGTTTGTAAAACCTTACATAGTTTCCAACAAAATGGTTTCTAAGAGAAACAATTTATTGCATCATAAGATAATTAATAACAAATACCAATCAACTTGACAGAAAGTAAAATCACCCAGAAGGTGTCTAGGAGGAATTTTCTAGATTAGCTCAATTGGGATGGGAAGAGTTACCCTAACTGAGGGGAGCACCAGTCAAGGGACTGGAGTCCCAGAACAGATACAAAGGAGAAAGCGAGCTGACTCATCTCTCTCTGTTTCTTGACTGCTGACACACACAAAAAGTGACCCCTGCCTCACATGCCTGCAAATGTAATGTGACCAGCTGTCTCAAGCCCCTGTTGCCATGACTTCCAGACCATGTGGGGTTGTACCCCCAAACTGTGAGCTAAAATACCCTTCCTTTCCTCAGTCACTTTTTGTCAGGAATTTTGTCACAATGATTAGAAGTGGCATGCAAATACTTCCCACATACGGATCCCATGCGATCTCTGACCTATATTCATAGACCTGCCTTATCAAGTATCCTCACTCACAGAGATTCCTACAGTAGGCTGATGCCTGGGCTAAGAATTCGGTCCAGGTGATGAGGCTCATTATTCTGTTTCAGCATGCCAAGGGAAATGACCCAGGCACCTGTTTCAGCACAAAGAGCTAAGCTAGCACATACCTTTGACAGTTGCCCCCTCTCTAATGACTCAAGTCCTCCCTTGATAACCTTGGCATTCCAGATGCCTTTAGCTTGAGATAAGTAATTAATACTCCCTGCTTTTCACTAATTCCTTCATGACTTCTTGTGTTTAACCATTTCATTTATTACATTTGTGAGCACTCACATGCCCACATACAGAATGCAGAGGACAACTTGCAGAAGTTGGTTTTCTCCTTCTGCCATGTGAGTCCCGAAGATCAAACTCAGGTAGTCAAGCTTGGCAGCAAACACCTTTACCCACGACTGTCTCTCCAGCTCTAACCTCTGTGAAGGGTATGTGTGTGTTGTCTCTGTATGCGTCTGAGAGTCGGGGTGATGTCAACAGGAGGGAGACCCGACTAAGAGCCACTGCAATGCCCTCTGCCCACTTCCCTCTCATAACGGCTGTGAG